TTGAGTTAGCGAATCAAACCAATTAAAATATAATATATAGTTAATATTTCTATTTGATTGATATATGTTATGAAATTATTTATTTCCGCCATGTTTCAAAGTTCAAATAAAGCTTTCACACTTTTCATGTGTCATTTCAAATTCGAATATCTGTATTCTGCTTAGAAACAAATTCAGATAGTTACAATATCCTAACTTTACTCTTTTACCCTTTTACTATAATCGACAACAATGTATTAATTTACTGAAAATATTTATTGTAAATGTCATGTAAAATAGAATTAACAAACGTAGGCATAATAAAAAAATACCCCTCAATAATAACTAACCAACAGTGTATTTAATCCATGTCGTAAATTTGCCTTTATACTGTTCATACACATGTATGTATTTTTAAACTACTAATTTAAAATGTGTATGGACCAATGACATTTTTCCAAAATGTACTTTTTGTTACCGTGTTACTTTTTGAAACACACTTAATACTTAAACTACACTTTCTCCAAACGTCACAGGTCGCAGGCAGTGTGGCACTACTTGACAACTTAACACACCCTCTTGGATGGTTTTTGTGTCATAAAATGGTTTTTCTGCCTATGGGTGCGCCTTTTATAACCCTAAGCCCTCCCTCCGAACTAGGAACTAGTCAACTAGTCAGTATTTTGAGAAGTGGCATTGAGAACAGTCGTTGTCTTTAATCAGTGTATACGTTAACTGTGATATAGGTGAACGTTATTATTTATTTATTAGCTCTTTAAGTTAGTTCCCGTTATTAGTGACTTCCTGAGTAGTACTATTTGTTATCGAAAATGAAATTTTTATAACGGTCTGTAAGATTTTCTACAATGACGTCGCAAAAAAAAACAGGGTGATAAGTGTAAACAGGGGCTTAAGAATGGCCCGCTACGGAAAATCTACTACAAAATCAGTACCACATCAACGTAAACTAAAAAATTTGCAACACTTGTAAACTTTGTTCAAGAGCTTCTTGTCATACACGCATATCTCAAAACTACTTAACTATAGATCAATGAATGAAGGCCAATAACTATTTTGTATTATTTATTACTTGAGTATCTTTTGCACATTGGTGCATCTTGTAAACTAGTTTTAATTCACGACATTCGTTTATTTAATCATTCAGCTGGTTTCATTATTTTTTAAATATCGCGATTATTCTATGGTGTAAATTATATAGTATTTTTCCCATGACATATGTTTAGTAAGCTGTTTCGTTTTCCTTATTTAGTTTACTGTATACCTTGTAAACTCTAGCATTTTAACATTACATACGTTTCGTAAGCAGGTTCGTTGCGTTTTAATATCGTGGTTATTGTATAGTGTAATTTGTTTTATTAAGTTCATGAAAAACGTTTAGTGAGTCTTTTCGTGTATTGTTTAATATCGTGATTATCCTATGGTGTAAATTTTAGTATTTTGTGCATAACTTGTGCTTAGTTAGCTGTTTGTATTTTTTTTTGTTTTTTTTTTGTTACTGTTTCCCTAGTAAACTGTAAGTTGTTGTATATATATATACACGTTTCGTTATTAGCCTTTTTTTAGATTCGGTATCACGGTTGATCTATTGTGTAAATTGTATTATTTTTTACAAGATATACGTTTAGTTAGCAAATTCGTTGTTTTGCTATATTTTTTCGTTTACTGTATGACTTGTAAATTCTTTGTAAAATCATTGTAGTGTTTGGTCCATGACGTACGTTTAGTAAGCGGATTTGTTTCTTTTTTGGTATTTCGTTTACTGTATAAGTTACCTTGTAAACTTTATTTTTTGTACAATACGTATTTCTTTGGTTACCCGTTGTTCTTTAAATACGTATTCAGATTATTCAGGAGTGTATTTTTTTTTTTCAATGGCATACGTTACGTAGACTTACCGGTTTGATTTATATTGTCTTTTTTTACATTACTATTTCCATATGATTAGTCAGCTGTTCGTTTTTGTGCATTACCATTTCCATATGTTTAGACTGCTGTTCCGTTGTTTTTTTAAAGCGATTATTCTAGGCCTACTAGTAGGGTGTAAACTATAGTATTTTGTTCATGTAATACTTTGAGTTAGATATTTGATTTTTTCATTGCTTTTTGCTAGGTTAAAAACGTCGTATTTGTTGATGAATTTGTTTGTTTAGCCGTATTTTCCTTCTTCCTTGTTTTATAACGCATTTTAATACCAAATTATTAATAGTAAGTAATTATTTGATGTAATAGGAAAATTGTTTTTACAAGATTTGTTCGTATTTTTCTTTTCGTCATTATTCTATTATGCCTTTAAAGTATTTATAGTAAAATTCTTATAGCAATATGTATTTTTCAATTCATAACTTTGTATTGAGCCTCGATTTTGTTTGATTTATAATGTATTTATTTGTTGGTATACTTGATTAGCAAGTTTATTATATCAAGCCAATTTTACAAAGATTTTTAAAGATAAGGCTCTGTAAATACATTTGTAGTTGTACACTCGTACTGTCAACCAGTTCATATGAAGTAATGGTATAAAGATTTTTAAAAATTAAAGTGTCTGTCGATACCCTTGTACTTGTACTCTTGTAGTTACAACCAGTTTATATGAAGTTAATGGTATAAAGATAAAAAAAATTAAACTGCCTGTACATACTCTTTTACTTGTACTCTTGTAGGCCTAGTGTAAAGCCGAATCATAACTATGCATATTTTTGAAACGTTCTTCTCTCGTAGAATAAAGTGAAAGTAGTGCGTGTTATGTCACCGAGGAAGAATATGTAGCCTACAGTGGTTTGGGAATCAGGGGTGTTCGACTTAACCGATGGTACCAGACAAATAATAAGGCGTAAAAATAAACACTGAAATAATGTTATAACACTTACCATATTAAAATTCTGGTAAATATTTTCAGTTAAAACTTAAAATAATAAAGAAATTTAGGATTTATGTTATAGAATTTTGTTAAATAAGCAGTGCATATGCATTATCGTACGTGTTCTTAGTTTTAAGTTTATTATATTATGTAGAGAATATGTAAACCCACAACAGAAATAAAACAAACTTAGTTGTAATATCAATATAATAAACTATCGGTTAAACGATAAAAATGGTTTGCTATAAAGTTGATCAGAATTGTACGTAAAAAGAAAGGCAAAATTTTTTTACAAACCTTTGTAATTTGATGTGAGTTTAAAATCATGATAGACCTTCAAGTAAGTGAATCATATACAGAAAAAATAAATAAAATTGGGATTCCTGTATAGCCTACAATTAATTGTAGCATTACAATATTGACAAATAACTTTTAAATTGAGTAATGTATGGATAAATTATGTTATATGTGTTAGAGGCAGTTGATGCAGTTCGTGTTCATTGCATTCGCTATGTAGAGACAGCTCGACCTGTGAGGGAGAGGCAGGTTGCTGTGGGAAGTGACGATGAGTAGGGGGGGGGGAGACTGACGCGCGAGCGCGGTGCAGGCTACCTTAACGCAGCGTGTCTCAACGCAGACTGAGCTCAGCGGCGTACTGCATTACCATTGACTACCACGACCCAAGCGTCAGCGGCCCGAACTACGTCGTCAAAAGCGGTACCGACTAACAGTATAGCGGTGGGCTCTCTAGGTTAGGTTTATACTCAATGCCCACGGTCACCGAAATGTCATCGTCGCCTCCCGCCGTCACGGAAACGTCATCACCGTCGTCCGCGATAGCGACAAAATAATGAACATTTATTGCGGCTGTGTAGACATCGTCATTGACTCCCACGGTCACGGAAACGTCATCGTCATCTTCCGCGGCCACGGAAACGTCATTGTCGATTCCCGCTGTCACAGAAACGTCATCGTCGTCTCTCGTGGTCACGGAATCGTTATCGTCGTCTCCCGCGGTAACGGTAACGTTATCATCGCCCCAGCGGTCACGGAAAGACCATCGTCGTCTCCCGCGGTTTCGGAAACGTCATCGTCGTCATCCACTATTGCGACAAAATCGTGAACATTTCCTGAGACCGTGTAGACATCCAATGATGATGGCTTTCGCGGTTACGTAAACGCAAGACGACGATCGCGGCAAAATCATGAAAATTCCCGACTTTGAAATCAAATTTAAGACTAAATCCCAACTTTTCAAGACCATTTTGAAATTCAATACTAATTCCAGATTTTCCCGACTGCTAGACATCCTGTTACAATCTTGAATGACCCAGAGACCGTATCTTTTGGGCCTAAGTGATAATTTATCTCTGTGTTCACACAGCAGTAGCTTAAATAGGTTATTTAAGGTCCATTCAAGGCCACACTAAAAAAACAGGCCGTAATGCTCGTCAAGCATGACGTCACGATAGAAGACGGCAATGACATAATTAAGGTTACATTTTTGTTTTCGATGAAAAGATTAAAACAAGCAGCTGATCACAAACGGCAAACATTACGTCATTGCCGTCTTCTATCGTGACGTCATGGTAGACGAGCATTACGGCCTGTTTTTTTTAGTGTGGCCTTGGTCCAGTCCTCATGATTCAATCTTACAATTTTATAATGTACTTCAATGAAACAATTTTACTAGGCCAACTAAATTAGTGACCAATGATTATTCAGGGTTTATAGATTCAGCATAATTATATCACATCAGCAAAAGCTAATTGCAAATCTTATTTTATGCACTTAGTGCGAACTGACAACTTAAACTATAAAATTTTATTACGGTATGTTGTTAAGCCAACATACAAATTTGAAAAGCTTACTGAAACACTTTATAATTAATTTTCACCAGTCAAAGCGTTCAGATGAATTACACAATTTTGCATATTAGAAGAAGGTCAATGATATTTAAAAATAATAATACTGTAATTCAAAGAGAAGATTCCTCTGGACTTCTTTATGGCCAGGTGTTGTATTTTCCCTATGTAATATACTAGCAAATAATAAAATACTTAAAAATGCCTCATCCTTACATTAAAATTTGTTTGTGATTGTATTTATGTAATTGTGTAACAAAATAATGTAGCTTGAGATATAAAATCAAAATATTACTTTAGACAAAATATCTGACAAAACTAACAACAAATAAAAAAAGACACTAAAGTACATAATAGTATTTACACAGTTTAAACTTACAAAACATTATATAATACATGAGCAATACCACTATGTAACAAGCTTACACCACAGGTTGATGCCATACTATTCTTCCTGTTAAACAACCAGAGACTAGAAGACAATGGCGAGGTGAGAACTTTGTACTGACCACAATGTCTGTGTGGCAAACGTTTGTTCCCAACTCATACAGTTGGACAGCTCTGTCTTTAGGGACACAGGTGGACAACTCAGAACATTCAGGAGAAAAGGCTAACAATCTGACACCATATCCAAACGGGGAACATATCAGACGACCGTCGGACGAGAAGCAGAGCTCCTTGATAAAGCCGCGTCCCACGTTGGGTTCCTCAATAAAATGTGATAGTCGGGGAATATTCTGGTGTATCTTGTGGTTCTTGGGGACCTTAATCCTAGAGCTAGAGGTGCGAGAGGGCCGGTGAGGTGGAGGATTGGAGCGGTTGGCTCCAAGGATGACGATGGTGCGGGAGGTGCTGGGCTGAGCCTCGTCAGCTGGTGGAGGAGGAACCTCCTCACCTTGTCTGCGGTACCTGATGATAAGTGAGGCCACCTGAGGCGCAGATCCTGCAGTGGGTTGGCTACCTTCTTCCATAACCTGAAATACAACAATCTCAGGTCAATGAGGTATTTTTATACATAATGGTGAGAGAGGCCACCTGAGGCACAGACCCTGCGATAAGCCTAGCTACCTTCCTTCATTACTTGCAATACAACAACCTCAGGTCAATGAGGTACTTGTGTACCTGATGGAGAGAGGCGCCACCTAAGCCGCAGACCCTGCGTAAGCCTAGCTACCTTCCTCCATCACCTGCAATACAACAATCTCAGGTCAATGAGGTACTTGTGTACCTGATTGAGAGAGGCCACCTGAGGCGCAGACCCTGCGTAAGCCTAGCTACCTTCCTCCATCACCTGCAATACAACAATCTCAGGTGAATGAGGTACTTGTGTACCTGATGATGAGAGAGGCCACCTGAGGCGCAGACCCTGCGTAAGCCTAGCTACCTTCCTCCATCACCTGCAATACAACAACCTCAGGTCAATGAGGTACTTGTGTACCTGATGGAGAGAGGCCACCTGAGGCGCAGACCCTGCGTAAGCCTAGCTACCTTCCTCCATCACCTGCAATACAACAACCTCAGGTCAATGAGGTACTTGTGTACCTGATTGAGAGAGGCCACCTGAGGCGCAGACCCTGCGTAAGCCTAGCTACCTTCCTCCATCACCTGCAATACAACAATCTCAGGTGAATGAGGTACTTGTGTACCTGATGATGAGAGAGGCCACCTGAGGCGCAGACCCTGCGTAAGCCTAGCTACCTTCCTCCATCACCTGCAATACAACAATCTCAGGTCAATGAGGTACTTGTGTACCTGATTGAGAGAGGCCACCTGAGGCGCAGACCCTGCGTAAGCCTAGCTACCTTCCTCCATCACCTGCAATACAACAATCTCAGGTGAATGAGGTACTTGTGTACCTGATGATGAGAGAGGCCACCTGAGGCGCAGACCCTGCGTAAGCCTAGCTACCTTCCTCCATCACCTGCAATACAACAATCTCAGGTCAATGAGGTACTTGTGTACCTGATGGAGAGAGGCCACCTGAGGCGCAGACCCTGCGTAAGCCTAGCTACCTTCCTCCATCACCTGCAATACAACAACCTCAGGTCAATGAGGTACTTGTGTACCTGATTGAGAGAGGCCACCTGAGGCGCAGACCCTGCGTAAGCCTAGCTACCTTCCTCCATCACCTGCAATACAACAATCTCAGGTGAATGAGGTACTTGTGTACCTGATGATGAGAGAGGCCACCTGAGGTGCAGACCCTGCGTAAGCCTAGCTACCTTCCTCCATCACCTGCAATACAACAATCTCAAGTCAATGAGGTACTTGTGTACCTGATTGAGAGAGGCGCCACCTGAGGCGCAGACCCTGCAGCTGGAACATACAATTGCACACTAAAATATTAGTGTTAAAGTATACACTGAGAATATATAAAATTGTACTTGTTCTTTTGTATTTGATAACTACACTGATTTTGATTTATTATACTCGTACATCTAGAATCAACAATTTTTAAGGCGGCAGTTCCCAAACCTTTTTTGCTTGGCGACAGTTCCAGGTATAGGTCTTACCATGAGACCTATGGTAATAGCCACTTCCCAATAGGAATATTCGCTAAAAACTAAAAACAAGTTATACCTTATATTGATTAGTATTGAATTAATGTTTTTATTTTAAAACCACACACTACTTTGATGCAATATCCTTTACACCTAAACCAAGCATAGCTTAAATTGCATCTAACCTGGAAGTCAGGGATGGAATTCTCCTCAGCATCTCTAGGCCGAGTGCGGGCTGCGTCTGCCAGTGCCAGGCCGCTGGACATGCGTACAATTCGGAACCTGGTGTGAGGCTCCTGGTCTGGCATCAGTATCCCACTACCACCCACACGTCGGTCCTGAGCTCGGTTACGTTCCCTGCGCGACCTGTGACAAAGATATGTCATCAATATTATTAATATTATCAATCTAATCTTACCGACATAATGATGCAAATGAGCTTTACTTCTTAGAAAACTCTTATTTTTTTGCAGGTTTAACCTAAAAGCCTTTAAATAGTTGGAAGAGAAAGTACCCAATGGTCTCTTAGAGCATCTGCTCACATATATTTCAAATATAGACAAAATTAAAAATTCAAAGCACATTTAGAACAACACCCATAATTAGCCTTGACCCTTGTTGTACTTGTTATGTAAGTGACACCATTTCACACTGATGACCTAAGGAGAATGTGCTGTTTACTCATAAATACACTAACATCCCATACTGGCAAGTTTTATCAATACCCCCGCCGCAGCAAACCTGCCGACTAAGCGAATTTCCATTTGTCTTAATTGATTTTCAATTAAATATATTTTAATAACATTAGGTTTATCGAGTACCTAGATTTGCTGCTACAAGAAAACTAATAAAGTGTGTTTTTTTGTAAAATATTGATAGCTTAGGACAAAATAAATAAATTTTATCAAAATACAAAATATATCCATAAACAAGCAAACTACAACATTTTACAATATTCTCCATAAGAATAACATGGGAATTTTAAATTTACAATTTTTTAAATTTTCTCCGTTACTATTAACCGAACAAAAATACTTTTATATACTAAATTAATTGTTTTTTTAAGCTCTTTAAAAAAGTCTAAAGAGAAATTGGGAAATTTTGTGTTTTGAGGGTCAAAAATGAGAAAAACCAATTTTTACCCCATAAAAAAACCCCCGGTAAAGCCCCGTTCCCATGGTCCGATCATGCTGGTTCGCGAACTCATTTAAGTTTATCCCGCTTTAACACCTTTAAACCAAATTTCATCAAAATCGGACAAAAATTACTCAAGTTATCGCGTTCACGGACGTATATATATATATATATATATATATATAAGTCTATATAAATATATATATATATATAAGTCTATATAAATATATATATACAAATTTGAACAAATGGTGTTTTTGGCCTCTGGGGACATCAAAATGAAAAAGTAAATCGGTCCCGGGTCTAGGTCTTACCGTGCCACCTACGGTAATAGCTACTTCCCTATAAGGAAATTCGCTAAAATGTATGTAAAGTAAAATGAACATTGACCTGGCCTCGCGAATGGCTACCAAGGCCTCCCACACGTCAGTGGAGGTGACCACGATGTTGCTGTCTCGCTGGGCCGGCTCCTGCGTGGGAAAGCCTCTGAACGGAGAGTTGCTGAGATTGCGTAGCCTGTGCACTGCTCTGCGGCTCTCCACGTTAGCATTCACCACGCGAGCTCGGGAGTTAGACCCAATCACAAACATACCTTCTAGTGGGGGGCTGCAAACATCATTACTTGTGTCAAAACATTATTTTTGTAAAACAAAATTAATAGTTGTTTAAACTAAACAAAAGATCTTTAGAAAATGGGCCAAATTTACCCTCTATTGAGTAGTTCCACTTTATGATTATTTGTAAATAAACACAATTGGACAAGGATAAAGAAATATACACCATGCAGTGTTGTTCCCTCTTAGAAGTCAATTATATAACAGATAAAAATATAAGAATAATAATATAACAAAGTTAAAAACTCCGGTTAAATATTTTAAATGATTTAAACACTATATAAATATCAAGGAAATCAAGGTGGTGGCAAAATCATAACATCCTCACTCCACAGCGATGTTGAAGACATCATCATTGTCTCAGGCGGTTGGGGAAAAATCATATGCATTATCAGCGATAGCGAAGACATCATTATCTTATCTTGTTATAGCCACAAAAATGTCAACGTCTGCCATAGCAGACTGCAATTTTGGCAAAGCTTTGAAAATCATAAAAACAATCATCATTATCTTTCACGATCTCAACAAAGTTTTAAAAATCTCTCTCGATTGTGAAGACATCGAGATCTTTGTATTCCAAGATTCTGCAATTAAATATCTTCTGCAATAGCAAAGACATCATCATTATCGACTTCTGCGATCAAGGTGAAATTGAGGGCATCTCCAACGATTGCAGAGTCATCATAATCAAACACGATTGCAGTGAAATTGAGAACATTTCTCACAGTTGCAAAGACATCACCGTATGGATAATGGCTAAGTTTTGAACATCTTTAGCGATCGCAAAGACGTCATTATTGCCTTCCAAGATTGCAGCAAAATTATAGCATAACAACTGGTAATCTGAAACTGACAACTGACTTCAGAAACCAACCCATTCCTATCAAAGGTAAGAACTGATTTATTACTGAGGTTCATCGTCGGTTTCATTGGCTGTTAAGTTGGATGTTGAGTCAGCTTCCTCTGCCACCAGGTCTGATGAGTCTGTCTCTTGGATATCATGGATGCACGTCCACTCAGAGTTCTCATCATTGCTAATGTTTCGACTCAAAGCACACCAACCTTGGGGATGAACCTGCAAAACAAACATAAAAGAACATGAGTTGTTATTATAACAAATAAAAAAGTCATTAAATAAGTAACTCCAAACAAAATAAATTAAATTGTAATTAGTTATTTTCATTTAGATATTCATCAGGACTGTTATGTGTTTTGCTAATAAGAAAATCAGCACAAATGTTGTACTAGCCACCATACACGTGCTTTGCAATGGGAAGAGAACGCTAAAGAGAGTTATCATGTTCTAAAGATCAATGGTATGAAATTTGATTAACTCATGAATAAATGTGCATAATTTGGATAAAGCACCAACATAATCATTTTGAAACACCTGGCCTATGTTAAATACTAGCTGGCCTGACAGATGTCGTCCTGCCATGTGGTTTTATGTCAAATGCTCGTTCATTTTCAAGATAAGCTCGTTCGCATCACTCAATCACGTCCTGGTTGAAGTTCGTTTGCTACGCTTACTCACCTTTAGGTTGGAGCTTGTTCGCTGCGCTCACTTGCCTCCAGGTTGAAGTTCGTTCGCTACGCTCACTCACCTTTTGGTTGCAAATTAGCTGTTGTCATAAATAACCAAAATAATAGTGCTGCAACCTGTTGATAAATCTATTAACTTTGCTATTGAACATCACAGAATCAAATTCTTTAGTTAAACCAACTGTTGAAGATTCTTTAATTCCATTTAAATATAAGTACCCTTAAGGTTAACATGGGAAACTCCAGAGCCACTGGGGCGGAGAGCTTTTGACGGATCTGCACTAAACTTCACACAAACCATCCTTGAATAATGCTTAATAATGCCTGAAAGTTTCATTACAATCTGTCGAGCGGTTTCGGAGTCCATAACGTTCAAATATATATATATATATATATATATATACTAGCTGTGTGCCCGTTCTACGCACGGGGATCTTAAAGTAGTCAGTTGAAATCTTCTTATATTAAGAACAGCAGTTGGTTTGCATATTTTTAGATATGCTGGCAAAACTATTATATATAAACCTTCGCAAATACAGTATCTGACAGTTTCAAGCCAAAACACATGATTCGCAATTAAATGTCACCCGGATCGTGTTAGTCCATATGTTAAATCCAATGATTAAACTAAAAAAGCTTTATAGGCCTAGATCAATGAGGCATAGCACTAAGGTAGGCCTATAGTTGAAAGTTACTTCCCACAATGGTTCAAAGTATTTAAAGTACTACCTCAACCTCACCATTTAACACTTTATTCGGGTTGACATTTTAATTATCAAGGTGCTCTTGTCCTTTTCGTGACACTGAGAAATACGGACATAAATGCGTTACCAACAGACATACACACAAAAATACAGAACTTAATTAGGGAATTTGATAAGTTTTAAGCATAACAAAGTACATATAAAATTAGTATTTGAAATTTGTATTGTCATCAAATTTTATCATACCAATCTATATTTGCTTGGACCGAAGATGACCCGAAATGCTGTCGAAATGGCGTCTTACTATATGAAATGAAGTACTATAGACAATTTAGATTGGTAATTTATAATAAAAATTACCAAAATAGGCCACAAACTACTAATACATAAACAACGTAAATCATAAACAATTCATGATGGTTTGTTAACAAATATTTTACTTAAATGAGTTATCATTTTCTTAGCATAAACTAAAATTTTGAACCCAGACAGAAAAAGCAAAACTTATACAGTTAAGACATAAATTAAATTGAGTACGGCTATAATACGACTGTATAAATAAGGTGAACACCAACAATAACTAATTTGTAAATTACAGTGATGTGTTGGTACGTAAAAATGATTCTTGCTGCTACCAACGGTTCTAAGGAAAAGAACCAGTACCAAAAATCAACGTTTATAGTTAAGAATTACGTCCGACAAATTAAATGCGTTAATCAAGTCCCAAAGTTATTGATTTCTTGGTTTTGGATTTTCTCGTAAAAGGTTATTGGCAATCAAAGTTATTTCCCATTAATTTCTTTATTTGTAAACAACTTTTAATGTAAAATTATTGGTGTCAGTTTGAAAAAAAAACAACCTCATACAAACAACTGTTTGTTATTTAATAGATTACGTTGGCCTATTCTCTAAACAATGATTCGCATATCTTTTAACATTAGAATGAAATGTGACAAAAATGACACAACACTGGGTTTTTGGACGTTTGTAATTTTATTTCTTATTTTATTTCTTAAGTAGGGAGGCCGTGTATTCTAGGGAAAATTACCGGTATCAAGGATCGTCGTCGAAAAGGTTGTTATGAATAATTGGGTAGTCGCCACTATTGGCGACGATCATTAATATGAGCCCTATACAACACTGATTCAAGGTCTTCTTTCTGGTTATCAAAACTCAAGAACAATTTTACACACAAAGAATCTCTGGTTCCTGACCTGGATGATGCCTAGTTATTAATTATTTCATTTACGGTTACACTATATTATTCCACTTGCGATTAATTAAATCCGTTATGTAAGACAACGTTTTTAATGTCACTTGGATGGGATTTACCTTCAAAATGTGATCGGAAATGGTTGCGGTATTTGTAAACAATATTTGTAAACATATCAGTGACAGCTAGAAAAAATAATCTTGATCCGAACAGCTTGTAGCGTCAGCTGATGACGTTGTCATAGCAACGAATTATGATTTAGTCTGGTTTTTGTTTTCCTCAGGATTGTACACAAAATTTAACTCTCTTATTAAACTACTTTTCTTTTACTTATTTGGTCGTATTTCATTTGATATACACAAACAACCACGACCAAAATGGTGACCCCGACTAAAACCGTTATCTAAAGACTTATTTTCTTTGAAGAGTTTAAATCTTTTGTGTTTCCTCCTTCGAACGATGTCATTAGAAAACCTGCAGACTCAACTCTCCGAACTTACAACTACGAATGAAGAACTGCGTCAACGGATTGGACAACCCAGCACTTCTCAAAACATGTCTGTCAACAGAGTAGCCGTCAAACTTCCGCCCTTTTGGCCTGAAAGACCAAGACTGTGGTTCTGTCAAGTTGACTCGCAATTTCTTATATCTGGAATTACCAACGACGACACCAAGTTTCACTACGTGGTCTCGCAATTGGACACAGGAATTGCTGCTGAAGTCAAAGACATCATAATGAACCCTCCTCAAGGCGACAAATACGGACATCTAAAAAAGAAACTGATTGAACGCCTCTCTGCATCTGAAGAGCAACAAGTGCGGCGGCTGCTGAGTGAAGAGGACCTTGGAGACCGCAAGCCTTCCCAGTTTTTGAGGCATCTTAGGTCTCTTGCGGGCTAGACTCCCCTTCAAGACAACATGCTTCGTCAACTGTGGCTCAGACGACTCCCTCCTCATTCACAAGCCATATTGACTACGCAACTTGAGCTCTCCTTGGACAAACTGGCAGAACTGGCTGATAAGATCATGGAGGTGGCTGACATTCCTTCAACACCTGGTATTTGTAAAGTCTCTTCAGGTAACGCTTCTTTATTAAATGCAATAGAATCCCTCTCTAAACAAGTTCAAGCATTATCAGAAACCAGAGTACGAGATACACAGGTGAGACCTAGGGGTCGTTCCCAGTCTCGTGGTAGATCAGGAAACGAGCCTAATCCCTCTAAGAACTGGTGCTGGTACCATAGAAAATTCAAAAACAATGCTACCAAATGTCTTTCTCCATGCTCTTTTCAGGGAAACCTCAGAAACAATCCGTAGAGGCCGCAACGGATTGTTCAAATGCTGGCGGCCGTCTCTTTGTGATGGACAGAAATTCACGAACTAGGTTCCTTATCGACACCGGGTCTGATGTGTCGTGTTATCCTTAACGCCTTATCAAACATAAACGTTTTCCTACTAGCTATTCACTAAGTGCTGCCAATAACAGTGAAATAAAGACTATGGTACCATGCCTCTCACCCTTAATTTAGGCCTTAGACGCAATTTCCCTTGGAGTCTAGTGGTAGCGGATGTTTCAATACCTATATTAGGTTCAGACTTCCTTTCACACTATCACTTATTACCCGATTGCAAGATGAAATGTTTGGTTGACAAGAAAACGGGATTGAATGCCGAGGGAATAGTTTCTAACAACAATCAAACTAGTATTAAAGTTATATCTTTCTCCTCGCCATTGGCAGAAGTTTTTTCTGAATTCCCTGATATTATTTGTCCTCCAGGCTTACCTCGTGCTGTGAAACATAAAACAGTTCATCATATAAATGTTACACCTGGTCCTCCTGTTCACTGTCGACCACGTCGCATACATCCTCAAAAATTGAAAGCTGCCCGGAAATAATTTGAGGAGATGGTTAAGCTTGGTATTGCTCGACCCTCTGAAAGCCCCTGGTCCTCGCCTTTGCACATGGTGCCTAAAGGTGAAAATGGATAGCGTCCTTGCGGTGATTACCGCGCTTTAAATGCTCGTACTGTTCCTGACAGATACCCTGTACCACATATTCAGGATTTCTCGTTCAATTTAGCAGGCTGTACACATTTCTCTGCCATTGATTTGACCAAGGCTTACCACCGAATTCCCGTCCACGAAGATGACATCCAAAAAACAGCAATCACCACTCCATTTGGGTTGTTTGAATTTCCATTCATGACTTTTGGCTCACGCAACGTGGGTCAAACATTTCAAAGATTCATAGATGAAGTTATTCACGGCCTTGATTTTTGTTATGCATATATTGACGACATTTTAGTATTTTCCCAGTCTGAAGAAATACATAAAGAACACCTAAGAATGTTGTTTGAACGACTTTCTGACTATGGAGTAGTTGTAAATCCATCTAAATGTGTAATTGGTGTACCAGAAGTTAAATTTCTAGGTTATTTAGTCTCATCTGCTGGGACACGTCCACCTCAGGAGAGAGTCACTACTCTACAAGACTACCAGTTACCTCAGACAATGCGTGGTCTTCGCAGATTCTTGGGAATTATGAACTTTTATCGTAGGTTTCTGCCTAAGGCCGCTGAATTTCAAGCACCTCTGCACTCCCTACTTAGTGACGC